CAATGACCTTTATTTATTTATTTCCAGCATTTGCATCTTGCTGACTCTAGAAGGACGCCTGGTGGCTTGCTCAAAGCTGCACACGGAATCTATTAAAATCATCAAAGACGCTCTGCTCCTTCATCGGCCTACGTTCCCCAATGTTTCTGAAGAATATTTATACTTTTCCTTATTCAAAAGTTGCCTTTGTTTGGATCAAAGAAAAGAGCTCATCCTTTTTGCACTGACCTTATTCCCATAAATAGAAAGTAGCCGAGCTTCACCAGGCAGTCAGCTTAAAATGGTTGGTTACGGAGCAATGAAATAAGAGATTAATTTACTGTAATTATGAAGCAGCGAATCTGTTCAGCTGACTGGAATTAAACATAGTGAATGTTTAGCATTTAAATACTGTATTTGACACCAACGTATTTTTTACTTTTAATTAACAGCAGTTCCACTATGCTAAAGAAGGCTTTGTTGCCAAATTGTTGTGAGCACACACACAGAAACACAAACCACCATGCTAGAAGAAAAAAAAATAGACTGTTGTTGTTAATACTTTGGATAATTTGGAACGGAGAAGCACTCACATTAATCTTAGCAGTTGTAAAAAAATCCTTTTCGCCAGGACAGTAAACAATACAGTTTGGGAAGATGGAAGTAACCTACTTTCATGGCTCACTATATAGGATTGAAGTGAAGGAGACTATTCAAGAAAGAATAAAATTCCACAAGAATTCTTTCTCTCCAAACTTCACTAAATCCTGGAGTTTTGCCCCAGAGTTGCTCCTTTATTTCTAATAGATCTTCTGGTACCAATACATCTGCAAGAGACATCTGCAAGAAAACAACTGAGCTCAGTGAGCACCAAGGACTCACAAACACTCTTGTTCCTGTTTCGTTCCTCTACCTTCCCTGCTGGGTAGCTTTTCACAGTTGCATCTAAGCACCCCCCCCTCCTGCCAACCAAAGTCCTAATTCCCTCTCTGGGGACCCGTAATTTGGGCAGGCTGCTTTCCAGCCAAAGATGGGAATATTTCGCACTGATATTGTTGATGCAATGAGATTGCAATCTCCAAAGCAGTGCAAAAGTGCTGAGGAAGACAAGGAAAACTTCCCTAAAGCACAGGCGGACATTGTCCCCCCCCCCCAGAAAAAGCAAGTAGATTTCCTACTTGTTAGTGGGTCCTATTAAAGAGACCCTGAATTTTGAATCCAGGTCTCTTGGGATGGATTTGCACAGCAGCTGCACTGGATCCAGGATCTGCAGTGCAATCCTTGGCATCCTGATGCCCTTCTGCCATTGCCGTGGCATCATGGCATCATTTGTGCGATGGTACCACAATGCCGGGGTGTCATTATGGCTTGTATCAATATTTAGGCCAGCGCATCTGGATAGGCACATTGCTAGAAAAATGAAAGAAATGGATTTTTGACCCAGAGCTTTAGAACAACTTGAAATTAAAGTTTTTTTTTGTTTTAAAGGTCAGGCTGTTCCTGTGCAAAGTCTAGAGAGAGGACAGTTCAATCAGTCTTGCTTGGCTACATCAGCAGAAAAGAAACATGAACTCGTTCACATGTGACTTGTTGACTTGGGTTTACTGTGCTATGCTAATGAAGGCCCTCAACCTTCTTTTTGAGTGACCTTCAGTCCAGCCACACAGGGTCCTACTTCCAAGGGGGCGGGCCCCAAGAGCCCAGGTAACACCTGTCAGTCCCAGTCCCCCAAATTCCCACCCACCCCCACCCTGGGAAGACTTTCCTCCTTGCTGAAGAGAGAGACTCAAAAGCAGGAAATCTGAAATGCCAAGAGCTGACCTTTCCGTCACTCATATTTTCCACTCTAGCTGAGCATTAACCTCCCAAAAAGGTCCTTGGACAACTGGGGAGGGGGGGTCTTTTGAAAGGAGCTGAGCAGATTGGATGGCTGCTCAGCAAAGGTCTTTCATCAACCCCAGTTTGATCTTTAAATCTAGTCATTGGGGATGCTGGTGACCTTTCACAGGGGCACAGAGGCATGGCGTTCTCCGGGACCACCCCATGGATTTTATCCCCCTCTTTCTGGCTTCCTCATCCTGCTGCTCAGCTCTTGGCTCACCTCTCACCTGTCGAAACTAAGAACCTGAAGTGCCAAGGCTCTCTGATACTGGTCTTTCTGTGGAGCAGAGAGGAAGATGCGTTTTCCTGCAGCAATTGGTCACATAGAACTTGAAAGAAAGGATGGGCTGAATTAGGTTGAGTGATGCCAACTCTGGCCCATAGCTGGAGGGACTGTAGAAGATATTTTGCAGAAAAGTCAGCATTTGGAGGGGACTTGGAGGTTAGGACAGTCATCAGAGCCCAAGAGCTTCAGGTGGGAATGATATGAATGATACCCTTTCCATGATGAAGTTATGATAAAGATGAAGTCACTGTAGCTTCTATCTTTTTGCTCCTATCTTTTTGAAAATGGTCTGGATATGAAATGGGGGTGACGGAATGGTGCTTTTAACTTCCAGGCCCCTGACCATGTGGTGGGCATAGGAATAACTTTGAGGAACAGATGGAAGAGCCTCAAGAAAGGCGATGACTAGATAAAGGACATTTGAGTCTAGGGCAAATCTGTAGCCCTAGTAAGCATCTCAGGCAAAAACTCTCCCCATTCTCATGAAAGTAAAGGGAAGTGTTTTGGTACTTGCAAGATCCTGGTACTGTAACCTTATAATAAAAGTAGTGTGAGCATTCATAACTTTGATTTCCTGGTCTGGTCTAGGAGCTTGCAAGAGCTGGCAGACCACAGCTTCCTGTTTCTGAACCTTTTTTAGTTCACCCTAATCCTTCTTAAGGTCAGGGGCGTAGTATTCGCTACAGGAAATAAGGTGGAATCAGGCAATTGCAAAGTAGGCTGTAATCGTTATTTTCCATGAATCAGAAATATAAATTCTGCCTCTACCATCTAAACTTATCTTGCTTTTTCTTCTTCTTCCAGCCACATCATCCTGAACTAATCACAAAACTTGACTCAATCTTTCCAAGCCAGATAGAGAGATTTAGCCATCTCAGGTAATAAATATATTATCCAGCTGGGGACTTGCAAAGGAAGTCATCTTCAGTGGTTCAGTACAAAAGTGGGAAGTGGTGCTGAGATTTGTTTCCTCTCGAAGAGATCTACCTGCTTACAAGGAAGGTAAAAGGGAAGGAAAGTGGTTTTCGGTGTTGAGCGACTGGAGGAAAAGCGATGTGCTGTTTAGGCTGGTGGTGTTTGCTGAGCAGGGAAGGAGATGTTGACTCACTAGGTCTCTGGAGGGCCAATTGGGCAGCGCTGCAGAATTGAAAAGATCCATCACGCTGTTTGTCTCCACACTGAGACCTAGAAACACCAACCAAGATGATTAAGAAGAATTTCTGGGCTCTGCACGTCCGATCTCCACGTCTCGGAGACAAGGATACCAGCCCAATTATACTCTGACTTAAACTTTGATTAGGCCTCTGCATTATTTTTACTGAGCAATCTCTTTGGTTTCATATAGTTGCAAATTAGTCGAACCGTATTTCACTGACAGGCCACTGAATCTACATATTAGCAAAACTACATTAAAATGCAGTGACATTGGTGGAACTACAAGAGAAGCTCATTAATTAAAAGGAAATTTCCCCCCATTAAAACTAAGCTAGCAGAAAAGAAATGAGCCTAATTTTAACTCCCTCCACCTTGCTAAAATCTGCTCTTCCCAATTAATCAACCTCGAGATGGTTGATTTAATTCCCAGTGGAGCTGATTGAAGGTCCTGAGGATTCAGCCCTACAATGGGGTTAGGATTGGGGATCCAGCTACAGCCCCATAAGCTGAAGGAATCGCAGATCCCTCGTCACCTGCTCTGTCCCTGGATTGATCCAAAGTCCACGTCATAACTCTAGTCATTGTTGAGGCACATGAAGAGTCTGACCTTTGGCCCACAAATAGTCCACTTTGAATTAATTTCCTCTCTAATTACAAGGCGGTGATGGTCTGTTCCGCTACGTGAGGCCAAAGAAATTGATGGAGGTTTTGCATAATGTTGACAAGCGGATTATGCAACGCAGGACAATAGTCCACCTAGTTGGGCCAAGTCTCAGCTCCACGGTCTCAAGAGGACAGTGGCAAGTCCAGTCTGGGATCAGATCTACAAACCACACAAACATCTGTGATGGGACGTGACAAGAACGGAAGCAGGCAAGGGAGGCACCACTTCAACAGTGTCCTGTTCTGAATGACTGACTTGAAAAAGGATATTTTATAGCTCAAAAGATGTGCCACTCCCAAACTGTGAAAATGGGGTCTGGGGGCAGTTCTCAATGCAGAAAGATTGCAAACTGGATCTTCAGAAGTGAAGCCTGGGAAAGGAAGTGAGAGGGTCTAGAAGGCTGAGTGATCTCCACTCATAATCTATAGATTTTACTATCCAAAGTGACTTCCATTTTTTTTTAAAAAGGTACATTCAGTGTTTCCCACCTTTTTTATTCCTACAGTGGGACTTGGATGGTCCCTTCTGCTGCCCATTCCCACACAGCAACAGGAGGAAGGTTAGCTGGGGCACAACATTAAAATACTCACTTGCTGTTAAGCCCCAATCTTTGCCCTCACACTTTCCAGAATGACAAGTTTCATGAATTGCGCATCTTAACCGATCCATCTGGCATTTTCCTGGTGGCTTACACTCCAGCTAAATTGCCCTGGCTCTTGAGAAAGGACACTCACGAGCAAGTCCGATCGATGAATTCTTCAGAGGAAGGGCACCCAGGTTCCCAGACAGTTTCAACAGAAAGGTATCTCAAGGGGATGGCAGATCTATTTAGATCTGCTGATCTTTCATCCTTCTGAAACCCATTTATTTTCAATAAACAGAAAATGCTTGAGGGAACTTGGAGTTCTCTCGACTCAGATGTTTAACCTGAAAAGGACGGAGGCCAGCCCAAGATGTCATTTCTGGGTGGGTTCAATTTTAGGCAAGAGAAATGGATTAGGATGGACCACAATTAAAACAAGGACGGCAGGAGTTTCCAACCAGCATCTCTGTAATGGCACCCCCCTCCTCATTGCCCAGAAGGGGACTTTAAAGATGAACAGATGGAAAGAAAGGAAGCAAAACTGTGCAGCCAGAGGGTGGTCAGCTGAGTTGGGTCTCTTTCAGACGTGGATTGCCCCAATTTATTTCTGCAGCCTGTGAAGCAATTGTGCCCCAAAGATTCAGGGCTTCATAGACCGATGATGTTAAACAGTCGAGAGCGGTTGCGCAGTTGGTTAAGCATCTGATTACAACTCTGAAGAGTTGTAATCTTGGCGTTGGAATCTTGGCGCTGGAATAGATAGTTAGATAATTAGATAACAAATGCAGGGCGGGGAGAGGTAGGGTTTTTTTTTTTTTTTTGAGAAATCTCTGTTTTCTTTGGAAACCTATTATTCTCTTCAGTAGGTGGTGGCGAAATAAATCATGTCACCAGGAACACCAGACAATAAAGGAAAAGGTGGGGGTGGGGGCAGGATCCAAGTGCAAGGAGAGAGGTAGAAAAAAATTAAACCAATTTTGTGAGTTGCTGGAAGACTCCCAACTTGCTTGCTTCAGCAACATAGAAAACACACAAATCAGGGTCTCCCACACCTTATTTTTCCATTTATCCAGCTGTCCGTTTTATGCAGTAGAAGACAATGTGCGTTTAAAAATCAAGGGTGGAGAAGGCCATTGCCAATGCAGTTAAATCTTCCTGCAAGAGATTTTTCTTGCCCAAAGATCTACTGGAAGTGTCAGTGGGATCTCCCCCCTCCCAAACTCTTACAACAAACTGATCAGATGCTGATCCCATGGTTGGATAGAGGCAACCAATGACTGAATTTACACACCAAGCTCAATTTACACATGGAGCAAGGTGGTGTACCTTTCTCTATTCCCCCCACCTTGTCCGTGCCAATCAAGCTCTCCCCTCCTTTGCAAGAGACAAAGGCAAGGGAAAAAAAAAGGGGGGGGAGGCAAGGATGCCAGTCCCAATGGGAATTCTTTCAGATTTGCAGGTTGCAGAGTTCAGCCTCTGAATTTTGCAACTCCTACAAAAATTCAAGGAAATGAAGAAAATATGGTGGGTTTTTTTTCCTTCTTCCACTTTTCTTCCCGGCTGTTTTACCTTCTTCCTCCCATTTCTTCTTCTGAAATGGGTCTGCTGAAATTTGCCTCCTCTACAGTTTCTTTTTTACCCTGGCGGGGTGAGGCTGGCTAGGTCTCATCCTGAGAAATTCGCTCCAGCCTGGGGCTTCCAAAATCTCTGTTGCTCTAAATCCTAGCTGCTGGATAACACCTGGCAGTCTATTATAGTCCGATTCACCAGCGCCTTGAGTTCCTGAAGACATTTGGGGGTTCAAGAGGCTCTTATGGGGATGTTCTGCTTTCCTTAAACCCAACATTTCCAGGACAGCCTGCTGTACATCAAGACAAAAAACCAAAATCTGAATAAAGTCACTGCACAGCTAAACAATAAAAGCAACTGAAAAGGATCAACGCAGCATCCAAATGTTGGTGTATTTGCATACCAGATCATAACATATTAACCTACTGTTACACAGTCAAAGGCCAGAAAATAGAACTATGTTTTTCTTGGCAAACAAGTCAGCCCCACTGGAGTTAGCAGTGTCTCCTTGAGAAAGTCCTTTCCGAATTGGGGCTGCCAGCAGAAAACAACCTCTCCCCACTACCTCTGGGGAGGAGCCCTCCAAGTCGATACAGTCTTAGAGTTTATCCCTTCCAAGCCGATCTCAGCACTTTGCAAACCTTTGCTTATTTTGTTTGAAGCCTAGTACTTCTGGATGGCAAAATCCTAACTGAGCCAATTCCAAGTTAAAAATTTTCAAGAGGCATTCTCCATGGGTGTCTTTCTTTGGTTTTGTTAATTTAAAAGCTCTGTATTGATTTGCTCTGTCAAGCTAAAGCTCCAGGCTGTGCAATTTCTAGCAACAATCTCCTTTAATTGGCCACAGTCTTCATTGAGCCAAGAGAGGAGGAGGAGGAGGAGGAGGAGGAGGAGGAGGAGGAGGAGGAGGAGGGGGCACTGCAGAGGGAGCCATGGATTCCTTGGACCTCCCCTTGGTCTTCTCTTGATAGTGGCTGATGTTTCTCCTTAGTCATCCTCTCCCTGTAAGGAAATGATGGCTGGAACTACCCAGTGATTTTCAGGACACCAAAGAAAATTACCAATCCTTGATCAATCCTGGACTCTTTGAGGCTTATAGACAAGGGCAGAAGAGAAGTTCCTTCAGTCATGATTGGATACAACCCAGGGCAGAGAAGTCCTGGTTTATAATAGATATTCCTGGCAAATACATCATCACATTTCCTGGCTCGGCTCATGATGACAACCCATAATAAACTCAAGACGCTGGTCTTGCAAAACCAGGTAAGCCTAACCAAGTCAACAGCAATCAAGTTTCATTGTCTATCTGCGACCACTGACCCAGCAGAATGCATCTGTGAACTCATCTGACGGTACCTTGGACTGCCCTCCCTGTTTTCCAGGCATTGCCACCTCATTGTCCCTGCAACAACGGACAATTAAACAAAAAGAAAGACTGGCTGTGTGACGAGATGTTCATAAGAAAACCACACACCCTTTTCCTTAATAACATTGGATACAGGCCAGGAATGCCACATCCTTATTTGCAAGCAAATTGCTTACAACTGGATTTTAATTTAGTGCTCTGCACCACCGCAAATGCCTTTTGTCGCATCTCATAAACTCTTGCAAAGGCCAAGCAGCAAGAATACGAAGAAAGCCACACAAAGTTCCTTTCCTGAGCTGGATTTCACATTATTAATAATATTATTATTATTTTAAGTAGGCAAAAAGAGAGGAAGAAAAGAAACTTGAGCTGATGGAACAGGGCAGAGAAAGCAACGAGGCTTCCAGTGAGAAAAAAAGGAAGGCAGGTGGAGCCAGGACTGCAGCAAAATAGCCACATTCATTTGAAGAAGGACCATCGCTTGGTCCTGGGAACAGGTAGCAAGAGTGAGGTGGCAGCTCCTTTGAGGGCTCCTTGGGGCTCTCTGGGCTTGGTTGCTTCCTTGCAGATGTTTCATTACCCAAAGTAGGAACATCTTCAGTGCATTTCAGCCCTGAGCTACAAATAGTTCCAGAGTGTACTAACACCCATAATAGCAGTTGGAGTGGAGCCTGCAGCTGCAAAAGCAGATAATCCCACCAGGATTGCACTTTGCTTGTAGGCTTCCCAGGGTCAACCTGGAGAAATTGGACAACCATTTGTCTGAAATGGCATAGGTTATAAGGTAGAGGGTCTCCTGTTTGAGCAGGGAGTTGGACTAGAAGACCTCCAAGATCCCTTTCAACTCTGTTATTCTGTTGGGGTCCGCCATCACTGGTCTTCAAGAAAAGATTGGACAGCCATTTGACCAAGATGATACAGGAACTCCTGCCTTAGTTGGGGGGGGGGTTGGACTAGAAGACCTCCAAGGTCCTTTTCAGCTGTAAGATTCTATGAAGCAGAGCCGTTCTTCAAAGTCTTCCTACCATCCACCCAGCTCCTGTTTGTTCAAGGCTCCATCCCTGAGCTGAAAGATGCTTCCTCCCCCCCCCAGGAGATTTCCCTTTAATTTGTGTGGGGTTTGGCTGTTTGTGTGGTTGCCCTAGAAAAAGCTGCTTTCTCAAGAGGCATGAGTGGGTCGGGGCTTCGGATGGATCCCTGTTTCACCAGGCAGACAGGTCAGTCTCGGTTGCCTCCTTTGAGGTGGACAAGTCAAAACTCTCCTGGTTCTTGCCTACCAATGGCCGGCATCCCCTGATGCCCCACCCTCACCCCGGGGCCTGGAAGGAGGAGAACCCCTTTTCTCCCGCTTGCAGTGCAGGGGGAATTTGTAGCAGCCGCTTCTCAGCAGGGGAGGCAGCAATCTTGCTCCTAATGAAGAGAAGGTGGGTTAGGGCAACGGCGCAGATCAAGCCAGGAGGATGTCATTTTGGCTTTGTGCTGCCCTAATTCTGTTTCTTCTGGAGCAAAGGAAAGACGAGGTTAACCTGTTGGGAACAGCTGGGTAGAGACCAACTAAATGTGACACCTGTCAACAGCTGTCACTTTCCTGGGCTAACAAGTTTTTGACAGCTTTCTAGGGTAAAGCAAGGAGGAGACAGATCAAAGGAGCATCCCGAGCGAAATATTTAGCAGCTGTAAATACCCGCGAGTGGTGAATGCCACCACAGTGCAGGCAGGCAAGTGTCTGGCTCAGATATAATATACCACATATTCACACCCAAGGAGTGGCAGAGAGTGGGGGGCTTTCCCCTTCAGAGAAGGGGCAGCAGTTGTGAATACTCGCCTTGGATAATTCCCCTTCCTTCCTTCCTTCCTTCCTTCCTTCCTTCCTTCCTTCCTTCCTTCCTTCCTTCCTTCCTTCCTTCCTTCCTTCCTTCCTTCCTTCTGGGTTAAGGAATGAACAGTGTTGGGGGAGGGGCACAGGGGATGAAGAAACCTCCCTAGCAGAGCTGATCTGCATCAGGCCCTTTGATGTCACAATCCCTTTTCTGGGCTGCTACTCTTTCGGATGGGTGAGGTGTGCTTTTGTGGGCACAGAGGAATGATATTCCTATAAGTGCAATAGTTTCACCCATTTCTTTCTCTCCCATCCAAGCTAGTGCTGATGAAGCATCTGAATTTTCTGCTATAATTTGGGGCTGATCAATGGGGGCTGGGAGGCAGGATGAACCAGGAGGACCAGGACTTCACCAAAAGGGAAGCGGCTTTGCAAGATGCTATGGAGACTCTGAAGGAGCAAAACAAAGAGAACAAAGAGAAGCTGCTGGTCTTCCGGCAGAAGCTCCGGGAGGCTTCCAAGCACACCAATGGGAGAAATACAGCCATCTGGGAGCAAAACATGGAGCTTTGGATGAAGATCGTGGACTTCTTTGGGACCATCCAGAAGATCTTTCAGGAAGAGCAGGATCTTTGGAAAGAGGACCTAGATGGGTGGAGAGAAGTAGTGACCCTTTGGAAAGAAGAGTTGGATCACTGGGCAAAGTTATCAGGAACCTATTAGATTTTCTCTCTTTTTGTAGAACAATCTCAGGATGAAAATGGAAACCCAACCATTAGCCCCAACTGCGTTGTTTGAGTTGACTTTGACTTAAGGATCTCATGGAGAGACGGGTGCTTGTAATACACACCTATTATTTCCCTCCACTTATCTCTCTTGTTATTCATTTAAGTATCTATTAGGATTATTTCCTAATAATCATGATGTTCCTTTTCCCCTCTGAATATCCAAAAATGTCTCCTGTCTTGATTAATGAGCTTGTTGAAAATTTGCTTGTTGAAGCTCAGGGGAAATCTGCAGCCGATATCCCTGACTACCTGACGGTTCTCGTGTCGGAATCCAGAGCTCTGCAGATGTTCTAGGTCTGTTTGCTAAATATTCCCTGGCTGCCATAGCAGCAGAGCTGTTAACAAAGGGAACATCAACAGAACCGAAGGAAGTGTTGCAGGTCAGTGGCCATTCCTGTTTGCTTGTGTTGGATGGATTCAAGGCCGCTTGACTTATCTTTTAAAATCTGAAAGAAGAGCTTTTATCTGATGCAGAAGCTGATTTGTCCCAGAGGCCAACCAAATGATTCTTTAGGAGACCCAGGCAAGCTCACCACTCCCCCACCCCCTTAAAGCACACAGCTTCAGATCTTGAAGACAAAATATAGATTTGCCCCTTCCCAAGCCATTAAGAGTCTCCTGTTCCCAACTTTCCCAATTTATAGCTTCTGTACAAATGACTGTTTGGTTGGCCCCTTCTGGAAGAATTCCTAGCAGCAGAGGGGAGCACATTTCTCACTTTCTAAAGGTCAAGATAAATCCTGGGCTTTCAGAGCAAAGGATTGTCTTCATCAGCATATTTCTGAAGACCCTTCACGGCAGGCATCTGCATGAAGACAACATGATTCTACTTTTTCTGTGCTGTGGATTGCTAAGATCCCTCCCACTCAAGGTTTTGGGATACAGTATTTGTTATCAACCCCTCTAACATGTTCTAGCATGACTAGAACATAGGAACCTGACTGTCCTCCCAGACTTTGGGGCAGGGAGATGATGGCTGAGCCCCCTTTAATGGGGGATTTGGCTTTATATGTTTGCTTTGGATTGCTTATAATGTCATAGTTATATATATTTTTTGGTCTTTTAATTGTAAGCCATCTCGAGGCACTCGGAGTTAGACAGCTTATAAGTAATATAGATGTAAACTATCTAAGCATATATAGGAGTCAGGTTTAATTATGCAAGCAAACTGTGTACAAAAGTGTCGGGGGAAAGGATTAGGGTTAGAGTCTCAATTGTGAATGGGAGCAAAACTAAGGTCATCAAGGGGAAGATCTTTTGGTTCATCTCTGAGATGGCAACCAAAGTTGAGTCAACTTTCATTAGGGTTGGAGCCCCTAAGAAAGCAGGGGGTGAGGAACATGACAGGTGAGCCCTGTTTTCTGTTATGATATTCTAAATAGAGGCATAAAACATCCTTTCTAGTTTCTTCACCTTGCTTGCAGTCCTACAGAATTTGGGTGAATGATTTCTCTAAAGTTCGCCAAATTTCACAAATGCCCCATCTAGTGACTGCAACCCTGAAATATCTCTTTAAGTCCTTTTCTTTCCCTGCTTCTAGCTTTGGGCAAATGGCTAACAGGAAGAAGAAGCTGGAATTGTCTCCGAGTCATTCAGATTCTTGTGACAGCAGCCCCACCGCCCCTTCCCCAGTGTCTGGCCAACAGGAGAGCTGGCACCATGTAACCCCCTTCCCAGCCTTGCAGAAGGAGGTAGTCCAACGTAACCTGAAGGAGGAGAAAAAAGGCTTGCAAGAAGACGTCAAGGGACTCTGGGAGAGGTGCAGGGAGCTGAGAGGGGAGATCAGGGACTTCCAAGAAGACAACAAAATCAAAGCTTTGTGGGGAGAGATCAATGTTTTCAAGCGCAAGAACAAGAGTTTCTTGGATCAGATCAAAGACTTCTTAGAAGAGAACTGGGTTTTCATGGAAGAGGTCAAGCTGTTTAATACCCAAAAATTAGATGCCCGGGAGAAGGTGAGAATCTTTCAACAGAAGATAGAAACTTTCCAGGAGAAGATCAAAGGAGCAGAGGAGGAGATTTCCTCCTTGGAAGAAAGAAACGAATCCTTCCGCAACGTCATCAAGGCTCTTCAGCTGAAGAACAAGGAGGTCCAGGAAGCAAACAAGAGCATGCGTGAGAAGAACAAAGCCCTGCAGGAAAAGATGGAAACTGTGGAAGAGAAGAACAAGGCCTTTTGGAAGGAATGCAAAGCCTTTTGGAAGAAAGACAAGACCTTTTGGGAAGAAGATATGGCCATCTCCAGGGACAAAATGAGCCTTTGGAATGAATACATAGCTCTCCGGGACAACGACCAGGCTCTCCAAGAAGAAAAAGGCAGAATGTGGGACATGGTGGAAGCTCTCTGGGATGCCAAGTATTCCATATGGAAACAACTCAATGGTTTTCCAGAAGAAGTGCCTCATGAGCTAGGAATTGAGGTGGTGAGGAATGGGGCCGATGGTGACCATGACACTGTCCCTGAGGAAGACAAGCAAGGGTGAAAGGATTCCATTGGTCAGGATGACACAAGTGAGGACATCTCCTAGACACTGAACTCTGGCCTGCACAAAAGGGCTCCTTTGACATTAACAGCTGAATAAAACCTTGATGGAACTCCATGTGGTTGCTTCTGTGCTTTTGGTGGAAATCCCCTAGAGAGACTATTCCGTCAGGTCACTGGCACCTTTAGAGTCTGGCAGTTGTACAGGTGCTCTCACTTAATGTGTCTAGTTGTCTAAACTCCAAAACAGCTGACTAGATTACAGATCGTCTTCTACTCAGAGAGAAAAAGAGATGGGGAAGGCAGACATCTTCATTTCACTTAGTTACGTGTTTAAACTTTGTCTTTCTGTGAAGAGAGTTCCCTTAAAGTGGCTTATAACGTGTGTATACAAAATTTAAATAAAGCGCAATTATTTTTTCATTTAAAATATTTGTTTCACACTTTGCTACTTAAAAAGCAGTCAGAGCAGTTTGGAAAAAAATAAAAGGCTCCTAATGTTAATATAATGAACTGGAAGGACCTTTGAAAGTTTGCTCAGCAGAGGAAAAGTGATACTAAAAGGAGATAAACCAAGGTGCTGTTTGCACAAGAAGGATGTCGCTTGCTTCCACAGGGATGTTCGAGCTTCCTTCTCAGATGCAAATGGAGGTCTGGGTTGCGGAAACCTGGGCTTGAGGCAATATTAACATTAGAACTGGGTATCCTCAACCTTTAAAAATATTCTCCAGATTTGGGTCGGGAGGGAGGCGAGAGGAATTGGGTGAACAACTTTTCCAGAAGGAGAAATCCTACAGTACTTTGTCAAGAGCAAGATTTCCTTTTAGTGGTGACAGGGGCACCACTACTGAAAAAGGCCCAGGGTGGGATTCCTCTTTCCTCCTAAGTAAATGGAACGGAATGTGGAGGGACACCAGAGTTCTTCTCCTTTGAATCTCGGTGGCATTCCAGAGGTCAGTTTCAAACTTGTCAATTTGTCAATCAGTTTTGCAGGAAGGCTTTCCTTTTTCAGGGGTGGACACGAAACTGCAAGTAATTACATTAGCTTTCCGGCTGTTGCATGATGTTGGAGCAAAATTCTCAGGCCCTATCCTGGCTTGGAGCCAGGAATCTCCCAGTGAAGACATCTAAAGAAGGAAGAATCCATTCTCGAAGGGCTTAATTTGATTTGGCTTATTTTAACAAACTGCCGGCACTCTACCGTGTGACTTCAATTAATTTTAATAGCAGAAGTGTGCTCCGGACATTGCATCCTAAACAGCAGAATGCGAGTTTAAGTCTTAATAAGCCATCTCCCCCCTTCACTTCCCCTACTTGGACTGAGAGCTTTACCCCCATTGGTTGTGAAGTATTATCCTTGATAAATTTTCTTGGGACAGCTTACACAATGATTTTAAAAGTAGGACATCATAAAATCCAACAGCTATTTTCAAAAATACATTAAAATCAATAGCACAGAAATGAGAGAGAGAGAGAGAGGGAGGGAGGGAGGGAGGGAGGGAGGGAGGGAGGGAGAGAGAGAGAGAGAGAGAGAGAGAGAGAGAGAGAGAGACTCAAAATATCCAAGGAAAGTCATTTTCTAATAGCAGACGAATATGAAGATGGGACATCCCAAAAGAAGTCTACTCAGATGGACATCATTTCAGAAGAGGGTTGATTCTTGAGGGTTGTCATCTATAGTGGCAAGAACATTCCAGGAGCCCACCCTTAACAGGTTACTGCAATTGTGGAACCATTCACCTGTAAGCCACCAGCAACATTTCCTATAAATATTTTAATCTGATGCTCTCTCTTCCTAGAATTTGGAGGATGGTACCCCTGAATGTCCTTTCTTCAAAACCTCAGGGGGTTGTATCTGCTTTCTGCCCATCTAAGCAGAGCTGGGACATCAACAAGCAGCCTCCTAGATTCTTAAGTCCCCCAGCAAGTTCAAGCACATAGGATGGCCCTCGTGTTCTACCTTCAGCTCTTGGAACGAGCAGAGAAGGACCAAGAGGTGGTTCACAAACTTCTACCTTCACAAGGAAAAAATTCAGAACTCTAAGCTGTTAGTCCCTAAGATGAACTATATCCTTTGGACCAGAAGAGGCCACCTGACCTCGGTGCAGCATTTATCATAGCTACCAAAAAGGGAAGCATCACAATGCTGTAGTGTGAGGTCCCTCCTTTTTGTGTCATAGTCCGTAGGCTTGGGAAGTGACCGCAACCTATATCCCAAGACTAATACTACCACTACCGCTATCCTGCAGACCCCACCCACAGGGAGAAAGTCAAGAGGACAGCCCTATTCTCTTTTCTTACAGGGACCTGCCTCTTCTGACTGCACAACCTTTTATTAATCCACCAAAGAATTAATTTGTTGCATGTTGCGCTCTAGCGCAACAGGCCTTAACATCCCACAGATGCTAATAACATCTTTCAGAGTTATCGGCAGCAATGAAAAGAACTGAAGTTTTCATCGAAAATCCCCTTAGATGAAGGAACACAAATGCCTATTTATGTGAGTTAAAAGAGAGAGAGAGAGAGAAATTATTCCAAAAACAGTTTAATTCTGACTCTAGTGAAAGCGATATTCCCCCCTCCCATTAGTCTGGAATATACATTTCAAACATTTTAGAGTTATTTTACTGCAAACTCTAAACCAATAGTTAGGAAAAAGCAGAAGCAAGTTAAGATACGCTTTTCAACCATGGGAATACCTGTTTTCCCCCCCTTTCTTTAGAAACTCCCACTAACCCTGTTCTGGAGCCTCAGTATCCCCTGTGTGGAAACTGGTCCTGTTATTAGGTCCTTCCAGCAGCAGGGAACTGTTTTCCACCAAACCACCAGCAGATCTGAGAATCCTTGCATGCATAGGGTGTGGCTCCCCCCCTTTTACACATTTATTTGGGAACACCCCCCCAACTGACACTCCTGTGCCCCCCACTGCAGGGGACCCACCCTGGCATGGAAGGCTGTGATGCACACGGGTGTCTGGAGAGCCCCCTGGCATTTTCTGTGAAAAGATGCCCGATTAAACAATGCAGATGAGGGTGTTTAAGCTCGGAGCGTATGGATTACAGCCCAAAGTCAAGCCAGAGATCATTCGATCCCAGCCCACTTTTTCTCCCCTGCTACTCGTTCTGTCTGCAGCAGCGCCAAAGCTGTTGCCTGTTTCTGCAATAACTTCAAAATTAATAAAAGCGCAAGGAAGGCAAAAGAGGGTGTTTTTTTTTTCCTGGGCAGGCATGGAGAGGAAGCGGGAAGCTGTTCTGCTTGGGTCTGCTCCTTCAGAGTGGTCCCCAACATAATCTGATCAGCATTCAGATATACTGTGTATGCAAATCAGAGCTGCATTGCAGTCCACAGCATAGGATCAGTAACATTGCAGCATGCAGGCTAAGGTGGGATGCTGTTTTCCTTCCTTTCTCGAGAAGCGAGACCTCTGGGCAGGGTTGGCTCATTGGCAGGGGCAGTTAATTTCATGGCTCAGATGCACAGGCCGTGCTGGTCAATCTAGGAGTGCAAAAAGGCCCTAGCCCTGCCCTTCTCCGAACTGTGGGGGAAGTGAAACAAAAGCTTCAGCAACCACCTGGCTTCTTACCAGGAGAGGGCACTGTGGAGAGCTCAAGGGAAATATCTGCAGCTCTTGGGAGCCTCTAATGGCAGGAGGAGGTTTTACAGAGAATGAGCTTTCTACACATGTCCAAACTAGACCTGCTGGCTCTCTATCAACGTATGTAGTCAACCTACTGAGTTTCCTCCTCATTACTCCAAGTCTGTGCATTTTGTAGGCTCTCACAAGCCATTTGCACATCTCCTACACTTTGAACATTGCGTGGAAAATGGTCTAAAAAATTGAAGGTTCCAGATTTGGTCCAGAATAATTTTACCCCAGAATTCCAGATTTGAGGTTGATGTCCCTTTTCAATCTGTCTGGAACAGCTTCCTCCAAGCGTTCACTCTTTGCTTCTCTCTCCAAATATGGCACACCTGGAATACATTTTGCTCTGCGCAGCTACTGGTGTGAGAGAGGAAAGTTCTCTTCCTTGCACTGAATGCAAAGCTCCATCTGTTGCACCACACCTCCAAAGCTAGGGCTGCCCTGTGCCCAACATGCTCTTCACTCCCAGGGCCACAGCTCTGCCAGAGGCTGGTTGGGACCTGCAAGAACGGTGGGTCTTCAAAAAGCAGATCCGCAGAGCTGTTTCTGAAGTTCTGCACTGTCCTTGAGAGATGAAAGAAGCTTTTTACTTTAAGGGCTCCCTTCAGGATACGGGTCTGGTGCTTCTGCCTATTCCACAGCTGACCAGGAACTTGCACCAGGCCCTATAAACCCACGCAGACAAAGGCCTATTATCTCTATGGAGAAGGTACTATCTAACCTTGAATTATGGGCGAGATTTGTGCTGTCTATTTTATTTAATCTAAAGGCTTCTTCAAAAAAAAAGTAGTTGCAACCTTATCTCTGCACCCAGCCTTGGAGACAATCTGATTCCTGTTAAGATTGATGCTTCCAGGTCATAGTGAGTATTTCTCCCTGCCTGGAGATATTTTGCCCACCCATCTTTTTTCTTTTTGACGGCAGAGAAATCTTAAAGGACTCATCTATTCCTGGCCAAATTAGAAGATCACATTAGAATATCCCAAATCCATTTGAGAAGCTGCAAAGTAATTTGAAATGCAATGGCTTTCACCAGCCCTGTTGGGTTGGGCAGCTTTTCTCATTAAGGTTTGTGTTTTCTATCGACTCTTGCACGACACCCAGAGTCACTTCTCATGAGATGGGTGATTATATACATTTGATAGAAAGATAAAGAAAGAAAGAAAATAAGCTTCCGAGAGGCAGGTGGTTGGCCCTTATGAGGCCCAGAATGCTGAATTAGCTGGATTTTGAAGCCTACTCAAAATATTAGTTTGTGGGATCCTTGGTTCTCTCTGAGCTGGGTTGTTTTCTTGCAGATGCTTCATTACCCATTCATTAAAAAGCAGATAATAAAATAAAAAGAACAGTAATGTTGTCAGTCTGTGCCTGAAGTTCTAAAAATAACCATTTTGCGACTAACTCTGAAAGATTAAAATCAGGAAAGCAAACAAAAACCCAAGAAATAGCCAGTGCTTCTCCCACTTAGAAACAGT